GAAGAAGCTACCCCTGCTGAAGAACCCGCTGTGGTCGAAGAACCCGCTACAGCGGAAGAGGCTATTCCTGCTGCAGAAGAGCCTGCCCCGGTCGAGGAGCCTGAAGAACCTGCTCCAGCGGAAGAACCTACTCCTGCAGCGGAGGAGCCCGTTGCGGTAGAAGAACCTGCTGCCGTGGAGGAACCTGCTGCTGTAGAAGAGCCCGTTGCGGAGGAGGCTGCTGCGGAAGCCGCCGCCCCGTCTGAAGAGCCTGCTGCTGTGGAAGAACCTGCCGCTGTGGAAGAGCCTGCTGCTGTGAAAGAGGCTATTCCTGCTGCAGAAGAGCCTGCCCCAGTCGAGGAGCCTGAAGAACCTGCTCCAGCGGAAGAAGCTACCCCTGCTGAAGAAACCGTTGTGGTCGAGGAACCTGCTACAGCGGAAGAGCCTGCTGCTGTAGAAGAGCCTGCCGCCGTGGAGGAACCTGCTGCTGCAGAAGAGCCCGTTGTGGAGGAGGCTGCTGTGGCAGTCGCCGCCCCGGCTGAAGAGCCTGCTGCCTTGGAAGAGCCCGCTCCTGCTGAAGTACCCGCAGAAGATATAGCTCCTACTGAGAGAGCCGTTCCTATCGAGCCATCAGAAGTCGCAGCACCCCCACCGGAAGAACAGGGCGAAAGCGAAGGATATGAAGCAGATCCGAGCTCAGAGCCGTCAGAAGAAACCGAGGCTAATGATTCTTCAAGAGGTGAGGTCCTAGCTGGAGCCATAGCCGGGGCCACAGCCGCCGCCGCCGCCACCGCAGCAGTCCACCGGAAAGATTCACGAAGGAGGCACAGAAAATCACCCGACGCCGACTATGATCGGAAGGAGTCCAGGAGCTCTTCTGATGGTCATCGATCACAAAGGCAAAAGGGTGAGCGTATTGGCATCGTGGGTCGATGGGCACAAGCTTTACAGGAGTCCAAGAGGATTCACGAAGAGAAGCAGAAGCAAAAGATTCAGGTCGTTGAGAAAGAGCGCCGCTCTTCGGACCGTGGAAGAGAGAGAGAAAAGGACAGGCAGCGGGAGCGTGACCGGGATCGCGACGAGCGGAAACGGGAACGGGAACAAGAGTACGAACGCCAACGTGAGCTCGAGCGTGAGCGCGAACGCGAGCAAAGACGGCAAGAACGCGCGCGCAGACAACAAGAACAAGAGCGTCTGCAACAAGAGCAAGAGCGCAAACAACAAGAGCGTGAGCGCAGACACCGAGAGCGCGAACGCGAGCGCGAGCGCGAACAACGTGAACAACTTGAACGGGAGCGGGAGCGAGAACGCGCAAAGCGCTCTGAGCGAAGCGCAAGATCAAGGAACTTGGAACAATCCGAACGATCTTTGAGCGGAAAGGAGAGCGCACCCACCAGGTCACACCCACGGTCAGATCACTCTGGAAGCCAGGACCGCGAGCGCAAGAGCAGCTCTTCGTCGCGCCACACCCAGTCCACAGAACCCAAGCCTCGCTTCTTCCTGAAGTATATGGAGGGTCAGTCAGACACCAATGGTCCACTTCTGAAGATCAACGCTGCCAAGGCCTCCGCTAACGTCTACAAAGACCGTGAGAGAAGGTCCTCCTCCCACCAGAGTCAACGTCAATCGCAAGACGGCAAGAGCAGCAGTGAGCGCTCCAGTCGACCACGTCCCGAGGACGACGAAGAAGCTCGAGCTCGGCGTGAAGCTCGCAAAGAGCGCAAGAGGATGGAGATGGAGCAGGAAGCAAGGGCAAGGGAAGAACCCGAGCAACGTCGCCATCACCGTAGTAGCGGAGAACATCGCCATCGTCATCACAGACATCGTCGCGAGCCGTCTCCTCCACCCAGTGGACCTTCCAAGCTGAAGACTCTCTTGGGTGCGATTGCTGCCCACTGATGATAGCTTGCTTAGGAAACCAAACTCATTACCCTTGCCGTAATGCTGTCCTTCGCTTTCCACCTTTCTCTCTCTGTCAGCTCGATGTATTTATTTATTCTTTGTTTTCTTTTGTCCATTCTGACTTGCATTTCTTTTTGCGCAGCAGATTCACAGCATGCATGCATCAGCGGGAATTGCATATGGTTCGGGGTGCTCGTGACCTTTTTATGAAAGCATATTAGCCTATTTCGGTTCTATTCTCATGTATCTTACGTTTGATCTATGCTGCATGCAATTGATGATTGTGATGATTAATATGACTATCTTTTCTATATGTGGACTTATATTTTACTCCTAATGTCTTCTTCTCTTCTCCTTCGAAAAGTGCTATTTCTGCGATGGAGCGTATGAACACTAGCGGGTATTTTCTACTTTTGTTCCTCTCGTCTTATGGGATTCTATGCGCGCTGTGGAATACCTCTGAATCAAATTTATTTAAGCTGCATTGGCACATTCTAGGATACGTATCGTCTCGGCTCGTAACAATGAGGTTCTTAACCACCAGATTGGATCTTCACAGGGCTGGAATCGCCATTCCGTCACCTCTCAAGTCGCTACCAGCACTGTACACCAGCTTCCCATCATCATAGTGACAACGAATGATTTGTCCACGGCCAAACATGCCCCTCTTCCATCCACTCAGAACCTCAACTTGATGGCCGAGCTTCTTCAGGCCCTCAACCGCAGCATCGCTGACACCTTCCTCCACATAGACTGTTCTGTCGATGGGCTTTCCCTCATCGGCGGTCGCAGCGGAGATGCAGATTCGAGGGGAATCGAGCGCAGCTTGAGGGTGGTAGTTGAATGCAAGCATATTGAGGAGGACCTGGACGTGACCTTGGGGTTGCATGAAGCCGCCCATCACACCATATACCGAGTGCAGAGATCCGTCGGAGACGTTGGTGATCAATGCGGGGATAATAGTGTGGTAGGGTCGCTTGCGCGGGGCCAGAGCGTTCGGATGCCCTGGGGTCAGCGAAAAGTTGGCACCCCGGTTTTGGAGTGTGAATCCGCATCCCTTGGGGATGATGCATGTTCCGAATCCACCGTAGTTGCTGTTGATGAAGGAGATACCGTTTCCTTCTTTGTCTGTCACTGCGAAGTATACCGTGTCACAGTGGTTGTGGGCTGGACTGCCATGATCTAGGATATCGGACGCCTTATCAGGGTTGAAGAGTTTGGCACGTTCCGCGAGATATTCGCGGGATATAAGTTCCTTGCTTGGGACCTTTTCCACGTCGGGATCGGTAACCCACCAGGAGGCGTCGGCAAATGCAATGCGAAGGCTTTCAATGATTGCGTGTAGGTATTCGGCGGAGTTGTGCTGTGCCTCAGTGAACTTTGGGATCTTTCCTGTGCGCTCTAGTTCCTCGAGAATACCTAAGGCCATAAGAGCCACGATGCCCTGTCCGTTTGGTGGATGCTCCCATATCTCCACTCCCTGGTTAGCCTCGCCGGTTGTACCGGCGGCCTGCTTCTCTACGATATCCTGACCGGTGAATTTGAGGGAGATGGCTTCTGTTTCCTGGCTTCCGGTTTCGGCGTGGAATTTCAGGTCTTCCAGGGTGATATAGCCTCCCAGGTCCTGGACGACTTTGACAAGTTCTTCTGCAACACGTCCTTCGTAGAAGCCCTTCTTTCCCTCTGCGGCAAGCGCTCGGAATGTCTTAGCCAGTGTGGGGTTTTTCAGGATTTCTCCGGGGAGAGGGCTTCGAACACCGTTTTCAGCGTTCGGGTCAGCTTTGAGCATCTCATGGTAGTTTGGCGATGCTGCGCGAATCAGGTGCTCGCTTTCGTGCCACTATAGGGAGTCAGCTAGTTGTATAAGTCGGGCGAAGCGAAAGATGAGCTTACAAAGAAAGATGCCAGCTCCGAGACAGGGAAGCCTTCCTCACCAAGTTCGATAGCAGGACGCAAGATCTGCTCCAGAGAGAGTTTTCCACTACCGAACTTCTCCACAGTATCAACCCACCCTGCCGCTGCACCGGGAGTAGACACAGCGAGGACGCTGGTCATTGGTATTTTTCCAGACTCATCGGGACCAAGGTCCAGATCCTTCCTGACCTTTTCGAGGGTCGCATTGGCAGGATAGCGACCAGAGCCGTTCAGTGAATGGACTTTCTTCGTTCTGGCATCATAGAAGAGACAGAACATGTCACCACCGATGCCTGTGGATGAGGGTTCTGTAATATTCAATGCCGCAGCTAGTAGACACATTTCTCTTAGTTTCATCTCCTCTCAAAAGTCACTTATTGTACTGACCGACAGCTACAGCAGCATCCTTTTAACAAAATCAGCATTAAATTTCAGAAGATGGCGGGGTTCCTCCAGAACGTACGGCGGCATTGCCTCCTTCACTCAGGATTCTGTGGCCTGCGGCGGCCGCCAATGGCTGAGTACAGGTTACAATTCCTTTTGTGCTATGTACAGTACTTCTCCGACTGGCGAAAGGGACAAAATCGGGGTTGAGCCGAGAATAGACTGCTTTGGAGTTCAATGGCATCTTGATGACGTGATCGGGTTGTGTCTGCGATGTGGGAGGTGGGTTCAGCAGAATAGTCAAGTACAACAAGTATTAGAGAAGGAGGAAGAAACACAAGGCAAGAAGTATATTTGTCACTAAGGATCCGGCTAAGGGATACGATAGAGGCGATCAGTTATCCTCGGAAAATGCCCCGACTTCCCCGATAAGATAGAAAGAATGACTCCAACTGCCTGGTGGGGTAAGATGAGTCTCGCCCCTCCTTTTGGCCGCCGCGGAGGGGAGATGCTCGAGTCCATCCTTGGGCGTAGAGGTACCATCCACGGCCAATTGAGTTGATAAAACATAATAGATGTATGACAAATTTCTGACTATAATGATGCCACCTTCATTCTCTTCATTGAGTCTAATATTGCAATAGAAAGTGGAAGAAGAGAGAAACTGAGCAAATGCGGAGGAGCGGAGAAGAGAGAGAGAGAGAGAGATGCACCTTCCCGAAGAGGAAAGGCGTGACACCTGACTGGCGGCCGACGCGTGACCCCAACAAGGCATGACGTTGGGAGAAATCGATGCAACCAACTTCGTTCCCGATCTATCTCTTCAACGAGGCGTGTTGGATATGACTCGTCTGCCTCGAATATAATAAGGACCGCCCCTGAAGGTTTCGGTTCCACGTTGGGATTCCCCATCTGACCCAGCCAAATCGCCCACGGGTTCTCGATCGCCGAGACGAACCACTCTGCTGTTGATCTTCAGGACCCGCGCCGAATACGGAGCGGAGCTGGATGTTTCCCTGCCGTATCATCCCACTGTAGCCTTCAACAGGCTTCTGGTGCTTCTTTGGACGTTTGATATACTTATAATGGCCCAACTAGACTGATCTGGCTTGCCTGTCTCACTTCTAGTGCTCAATTCTTGTTGCTCGTTCATTCAGGTTGCTGCCGGTTAGCAAGCCTCTTCGGAACCTGTGCATCTCTTTCCCCTCCGCCTGTGCCATAAATACTTCCCTCGAAACAGGATGGTGGTTTTCATTGACTTCGACGACGATGCGCTTAGCCCGCATCATATCTCGGGTCCCTCCAATCCCTTCCTACATCCCTACATAGAACCCAAAAAGCCTGGGTTATCCGAACTATTACCTGTCAAACCGGACGAGCCGCATCGTGCAGCGGATGTATCCGCGGACAGTGATCGCTCCGCAGACCCGTTACACAGCATTTCTCCCATCTCTAAGGCGCCACAACAAAATCCAAATCGGAATGCTTTCTCAGCTGCTCTGAGCTGCTATCCGTATGAGACACTTTGAACCAGGCCGCTCCAGTGTCTGGTTCGGTATGGTGTGCTGACTGCGGATACAGGATTATCAAGACAATTGCTCGCTCGGTGGATTTGAATACTCTACACGCCCTTTCACGAACATGTCGTCAATTCCACGCCAACCTCTCTCCCTATCGCCAGCAGCTGGTTAAGCAGACCTTGCGTTGTGAGAATGAGTATATCGAGACACTATCGGACATGTTGGACAGCGGAGCTTGCATTCCCGACAGCGTCAAGTCGGTTATGCGTTTGCTCAGCCAGAATGCCAGAAGTTCCGGACGCCTGACCAGTGGCAAGATTTCCAAATGCGCCCGAGATATGGTGGCCGAATGCCGTCGATGTTCCAAGGTTGTGTGCCGGGTGAGTCTGCTCCACCAAGCTCTGTGTCGTCCCATTCCAATACTGATACTGGTACCATGTAGAATTGCGTTATCAAGCCTCCATCCAGCCACATGCTCAGACACCGCATTCGTCGTCTCTGCACCACTTGTCGCACGGCCCCTCTGAATGAGCTTATCGAGCAACCCTACGAACATGCTCATCCACAGAACATCTACACACATGCGCCTTCTCATCCTCCTCGGTCCATAATCTCGGCATTCCAACGTACGCCTTGCTCCTGCGATGATGCTATATGGCTTTGTCATCAATGCGGACATCAAGTACGCAGCAGCGATACAACCTACCGACGGGTATGGACATGGCGCACCCGTTATAGTACCTATCTTGGCGGCCTCGGCACTGGGATTGGAGAAGGCTGCCAAGGCGTCAAGTGTGGTCGCGGAGAGGATTGCCTCGCAGCCCAAGAGATTGAGCTTGAGGTAGAATGCGAAGCGGACGAAGCTTCAGGGAGCCCCCCTGACTATGGCCGCTACTACGAGCATCGCCACAGCCAGAGTCCTCCACGGCATCACAACCACTCCCATGACGACTGGGAGCATCGTGAGGAAGAAGAGCCGGGTTACTTTCGACAGGAGATTATCGGCATCGGAGGCCGCGTCAAACACAAGGCGAAAAAACGAGTCACGGTGGGTGCTTGCGTAGTAGAGCATGAAGATGAGCGTGAAACAGGCGAGTATCTTACTAGAGAGGAGCGGGGACAGCATCGAAGCTGGTGCGGATGGTGTTGGCGAGTCATTCCGGCCAGAGATGAGCTGTGGAACGTTAGATGACATTACGACCGTTAGCTAGATGAAGTAATTGCCACGGGCTTATGTAGCGAACTTGTCTGGTGGGCGAACATAGGATAGGAGCGCGACTTAGTATCCTGCATATTATTGGACTTTTGGCTGAAACTCAGTGTCCTCCGGTTTATTGAACTGAGATAGTTTCATGGCTTGATAGACATGCCTAGCAAAAGTCACTAGTCGATCATTCCTGGGACCATGAATGTCAACATCGCCCAGACTATTCTGAGCAGAGTATCTTTGCCAGTGCCTTCGTCAAGAATTTCATGTAGTACTCAGTGAAAGACTTACCAGCAATGCAGAATCTTCTAAGAAGCCCCATTAATTCCAATTCGTCAAACCAAGTTAGTTATCTAACCAAAATATTGTATGAGGAACATTATCAGAGGAACTACCGCAAGAATTATCAAGAGAATTATGAGAAAACTTATCAGGCATAAGGTGTAGAATAGATAGGTCTTGCAGCAAGAAGTGAAGTCTATACTAGTATACAAAAAAGTATTCTATAAGGAAGAAAGCAGCACATTGTACAAGGTTGCATAGGAAAGAACCAGTAAAGAACAAAAAGAAAACATCATTGGCTCAGACAAAGCATCAAGACACAACAAAAAAAGAAACCATCAAGCTAGCATAACTCAATAAGTATAACATGACATATGGACAATCAGTGCACGTTGCGAAATAAGAAAGCCACACAACATGGGTATATAATCAATCATAAAGACCCCAAATGGACGCCATCCAGTAGCCGGGTAGCCAAATCGCAGACCAGGGCTTTTTTTCTCCAGAACAAAGGAAATATGTGCAGATAGACAAAGGAAATGATAAGAAGGATTGATAAATAGATCAATAATGGGATGAGGCCACCCTTTTCTTGGGTGGCTCGTTCCCATGGCCTCATGGGCCTGGTAATGCCAACGTCAATGCGTGGCGGCATTAATGTCGTATTATGGTTCATTTGAACGGTGCGAGACCGGCTTGACGGTGATGCTGCGTGGTTCTCTTCTTCTCGTACAGTCGCATTATTCCCGGTCCGCACAGATTAGGAGTACCAGAGATATGCATACATATCACTGCGTGTCGTCCAAAGGGAGGGCGAGTATTAGCGTATCAGTCGTATTGGAACATGGCTCATAAGCCCTAATTAGGCACCGGCCTGTCGTCGGTGGTGAAAGATGAAGATTATCACCGCCTGTTGGCTTTGTTGTTGCTCATATCGCCCATGACTTCCAGTTCATTGCGGGTGGGTATGAGGCGGGAGGGAGGACGTGTTCCTCGTAGGTCAGGCTTGGGCTCGCTGACCAGCTGGGCGATGGATAGGGGCAGTGGATAGACTGCAATGGGAAATTAGCGATGATATTATGGTGGATGTCTCTCAGATTGACATACCGGATGAAGGAGGCTTTCGGTGAGAGGAAGGGGCATCATGCTTAGGGACGGGAGGCTGGTGTCTGGCTGTTCCCAGCAGCGCATATTCGACTGCATGGACATTGGCGAGGAAGTCAGGTCGGGTTCCATGAGGCTCTCGGGATACGGCTCAGCGACCGTAACCGGTGTGGAGACGACAGACGAACGGGAGTGAGAGTGCACTGATAGGGAAGTGCCATCCGAGAGAGGAGACGGGCACGTTTCCGGGGTAGCGTAGTACCGACTGTCTTCTACGGACTCGTGAATCTGATGGGGGCCTTGGTACAAAGGAGTCTGGTGTCCAGATGTAATTTCGACACTATTCCACATCAAGCCGCAGTCATTGGAGAGGTCTGGGTGGATGGCAGGCGCCACGAGAGCACCAACCGACATGGCATTGTGCGGTTGGGTGACGGCCAGGTACGGTGTTTGAGTTGAGGGCATAGACGTGGTGGCAGGGACATAAGGCTCAGAGATGATGGGAGTCCGGCTCTGCTGGTGCCATTGGGCAGTTCTGTCCATCTGTGCTTCCAATTCGCTGGAGGTAATCGTCAGTAAAGGGTACAAGCAAGCTGTAGTGGCAGGAAATACTTACTGTCTTTCCATGTGGCGGGCGAGAAGGTCAGGGCGGTGGAACGCCTTTTTGCAGTGGCTGTGGGTACAGCGGAATAGGGCTTCAGGGTTGTGGTTCAGCTCATGGCGTCTGTAAGATTTGATTAGCATACCAATAAGGCAGGTTTATTGCGACACAAGTGCAACGGCTTACCTTCGGTGCTCGGCTCTGGTGAAGACCTGAATTGAAGGGTCAGCTTGTTTCCAAGTCTGTGCGACAGCAACCTCGTGGTACCAACCTTGTTGCAGCCTGGGTATTCGCAAGCATGCACACGCTTTCCCTTCTTCGCTTTGCTGATGCGATGCGTAGTTGGAGTGTAGGTGATGGGGAGAGGGATCTCCGACTGAGTAGTGCTTCGACGCATTGTTCAAGTTTGTCTGCCTGCTTGGTGTGTCTGATGGGTGTTGTAGAAGGTATCGGATGTTGTTGTAGCAGGAGTAGGATTGGTAGTAGTAGTTGTAGTTGTTTGAAGTTTGAGTTGTTGGGGTTTGAAGGATGAAGAGGCAGGAAGAGGTTTTGATCTTATAGAGTTGGTTGTGATGGAGTGAGGATAGACAGGATTGAGATTGGCGAGTGAGCGATTGATATAGGATTTGGTTCCTGAAGGAGGCTATCCCCTGATCATTCTGTAACAGACCCAGAACTTGTCAGGAACGGGATAGACATGTGGTAAGTGTGGAGATTGGGGGTTAGAGTGGGAGGTGGGCTGTGATGCAGCTATACTAACAGAATTGGGGAACAGACCAGGGTGAGATCAGAACGGACGAGGCAGGGAAAATGCCTCGCATCTGCAGGCCGGATTGGGGCAGTGAGATTAAGATGGGGAAAAAAAATAAAAAGAAGAAGGAAAGTGACGATCTGAAACGGGCGGAATGGTGGCGGAGAGGCTGTCAGGGTGGATAGTTTAGAGGGAGCAAAGCAAAAGTGATATAGAAGCACCACTGGATGAGGCTAGACCTGGGTTGAACCACTAACTACTACTTAATTACTTAACTTGGTATTTCTTAGTCCTTCCCGAGCGATCGCCGGGGAAAGCGAAGGTGGGAAAATGATTTGGAAGCATAGTAACAAAATAGTAAATAGAATAAATTGGAAATTTCAATGTAATATTATGGTAATCTGGAAAAATCATTAAAATAAATCGTGCAGATAATAATAATAATAACAACAATAATAATAATAAGAATAATCAGAGATAAAAATAAATACGACAATGCGATTATCGTCCAATCTCCTTCAGGCTCTGCACCAAGGGAGGGAGGGAAAGAAAAGAAAAAAAAAAAAAAAAATGTACCTAAGGCAGGTAAGCGAGAGAGCCAGTGCACTGCAGTTTGATGATCAGTTTGTAGGGTGATCACAGCAAGCAACCACTCAGGACTAGCCCTGCTACCATGGCTATGTTAGACTTAGACTACTACTTTGACTTCCACCAGGTCAGATGGAGACGGAACCGTGAATCCGCTCTCCCCAGCGAGGCTAACCGACGCTGCCAGTATATCTTTACAAAAAGTGGGAATCAGAAAGTGGAATGGATCCATTCCTGTCATCTCTTTCCCGATCAGGATTTTTCAGTTCGATTTAATTGATCCGGTAAGGAAAGAAAATAAGATAAAATAAAATAAACAGTCAGACAAGACCAAATAGGAAGAAAAGAAAGAGGGAAAAAGCGGCAGGGCGTTTTTGTCATACTCACTTGGCAGGAACGATGGGTTTCCCTCTTTAGGCTTGGTTAAATCCATCGTTACTATGGGGCCCGTTGGGCGAACGAGCAAATGACAGCCGCCATGAGGCCAACATCCCTTTCCCCTTCAAGCGACTACTACTCGACTAGCAAGTCCTGGTGGTGTTGCGGCTGAGGCACACTGCAGATTGGAGTTGAAGAAGAACCCGCCCTGTATCGTCGAATTTTCTCGGCAGGAAAATAGGACGGAAAAGAAAAAAAAAAAACAAAAAAAAAAAGTAACAATAAGAAATGAAAACATCTAACCTACCTCGTTCGTCTAATTCAAGTCTAACTGACTGACCAACCGAATAATCATACTACAACGGCTCCGTTTGTTGTTGGTTTTTCTACTAGTACCAGACTCCACTTGCATAAGCTGAGCCATGGTTTTCCAGATCTCCAGTCCCGGTCGGCACGAGAAAATCAGAAAAGGGAAAGTTAGGCTTCTCGGGTAACCCAGCCAGAGGCACACTTACTCGCTCACTCACGAGAAAAACAAATTAATTAGCGGAACCGGACTCTTCATACTCGTGCGAAGGAGGAAGGAGACGGACGGGATCACGGAGACGGATATGGAGAAAAGAGGGGGGGAAGAAAGGGGTACCCCACTCCTGGGCAACAATACCCTGTGCACATGGCTCAGGATTCGATCCCAGTCGATCCCGTCAGCTATGAAGATACGAGTCATACATTGCATTATGGAATGCTGATGGGTTCGGGTGATGGCCGTTGTGGTCCGGTGTGGTGTAGCGTAGTAGATGTGTTGTAGCTGCTACTTACTTGTTTCCCACCTATACTACTCCCTACTATACGGCCCAAACAGATGGCATCATCAAGAGGTTGGCAAGCTAAGACCGCCAACCACATGGCTATTCCTTCCCCTAGACCGTTCTCTTACCCCTGCTGCAGTGCTACTATTACTAGTGTTATATTAATTTGCTGACATGGTGGAGGTGAGGTGCGAGTATTGTGCAGGGGTGTCTGTCTCAGACTCTCAGTATCTATTAGAGGCAAGGCAGTATGGTATGGGGTTTACGATAATGAGGGTGGATATCGTTGATAAAGAGAAAGAACATCATGCAGAGCCTGAAGGTCGAACACCATCACTGCACAAAATTGGGGAAGTTGTTGGGTGTCTGAGCCTCATGATTGGGGGGCTCGTTTATGACATGGAGGACCCAAAGTATTCTGGCCAGGTCTGCTGCCCTCTAGTTTTCGAGCCAACTCCAGACTTAAGCAGGCTAAAGTAGTGGCAGAGACTTGACTTACCAGGATAGCCCAACAAGCAAGCCAACCCCGGTGTCGCTCCTCAGGCTTTTCATCAAAGCCTCACAAACAACCCCCCATCCGACGGTCCACT